CCTCGACGCTTAAGTCTTCTAGGAGCATTATTGTAAAGGAAACATCTAAGGTCAGTTCCTATAAGTCGAGGGGGGAGGGAAAGATAGCTCGGCATTTAAAAAGCAAAACATTCGGTCGACTGAGGTCAGAATAACAGGACGGCGACCATTCAAGCCTAAGGCATGAACTGAATTGAAGACTATTCAAGCATAGCGGCGACTGTTTAAACTAGCCCAGAATCCCACAAGAAACCCAGAATCGCTTGGAACTCCTATGGCTAGCCCCAGGCATGGCGGGTAATGCTAAGGTCAGGTTCCAACCTCTTCTCTCATACCATTCCTAACTGTTCCCATCACTCAGGAAACAATCTATGGAGATTCTGAGCATGATAAACAGAGTAAAAAGGGAGTTCAAGGAAATGCTTACCAGGGAATGAGGAGCAGAAGCGATGCACGAGTTCTCAGGAAGATTGTCGCTGGAAATCCGCGGAACAGCAAGGAAGGAATGGTCCTGGAAAAATTTTGGCAAAGGTTCGGGTGATTTAGACACAACGAGGCCTATTTATACTAACCCAAAGGCCTCGACCCCCAGCCGTCCGATCAGGTACGTTTTCATCCAATGATGGGAGGATAAGAGCTTGATCCAACAGTTGGGGGAAAGACGAGAAGCTAAGGGGTCACGATTCAGTGGCCAGGGTTCACTCATTTGAACGGATGACCTTGTCAGCATGGCGATTGAACGGACGTGACGTTTGAACTTCTCGAGGGGTACCATAGTGCCAGGCCCATCATTGTGAAAGAGGTTCGGAGCTAGGCTCCCACGCCCGAAGCAAACAGGAGAGGCAGAGCAAACACCAGACCTAGCTTGAGGCAGTTCAAAGAAAAGCCTCGACCTGGGGGGTAGCTGTTGTGTGGGAAATTCACACGCGACACGTCGGACAACGAGCAAGCCACACGTGGCCCCATGTCTGTCACGTTAGGTAACCCTCGACATCCAGGCCTCGTTGGTCTCTCCCGAATGGCAAGAGAGTCGAGCATACAAGACTGATACTATCGACCGTACACACAGTCAAGGTCTAAGATACTAGCTCGGGCAAAGTAGCGCGATAGAGTCGACCGCGAGAGACTATTCTCGGCCGATGTCAGCACAGGTGCAGAAGGCGGACTCGAACGGCTGACTCCACATCCCGAGGCCCCTGAGGTGGCTGGTTGAATATCCCAACGTTGTGTATGAGTTTAGAGGAGGTCAGTTGCACAGGAAATGATTATAAGCCCCTTAAACTGCATGGAATAAGTCAAAAGGTATTACAAAGGGGCTGCAGAGCCGTAATAAGGGGACAAATTGGATGAGGAACAGTTCAAAAGGTATTGACAGGCTATGGTCTAGGCTATGGCCACTCGAGTGAATGGGTCCATTGGGGAAAAGCCCACTGGTCCAAACCGCCTACCATTGGGCAAGACCCGGGAGAGATGGGCTATATAAGGAGAAAGACTCCCCGAGAGAGGGGGTTGGCTTTGGACACATTGAAATCCTCTTGTAAACACACGAATCAAAAGTAATAAAATACAGTGGATGTAGCTCTTATTTTAGAAGGGTAAACCACTATAAAACTCCTGTGTCTTCTATTTTTGTGCTTGATAGATTGCTCTTCTTCGGTAATCTACCAATCAATACATTCACACACTTCCACACTCAGCAAAAACACTAGTTCTGAACCGGTAACCAAGCGGGATATCGCGGAGTAACCTAGTATGACTTTGTTGGCAAAATTTGCCCGTCAACACTATTCATTTTCAAAACATTTAAAAGTATATCATTCTCTATAAATCTTATAACTTTTCCACAATAAATATAGGAAAAGTGCAGTAACTATGAGTCTTCCACTCTAATAAATAGTTACTTTTTTGCTTGTATTACAAAAATATCCAATAACCAAAACATAAATCTATTTTCGTCAAGTCTAAATTTGTTCCCATTTAAATAATTATTTACCTGATAATGTATAAGTTAAGTTCTAATTATCTGATAAATCAATTTAATTATGTCTTAACGTTTCTTTGGATTCTTTATTCTTGCAACTATAAGAAATTAGGTTATTCTGAAGAAAGGGCCCAATATTTAATCTGATCACTTGTGAAAATTACTAAAAAATGTATACAAATTTGGACCCAAAACTAATTATAAGAAAATTTTAAGATCACGTAAAAAAGTGATAACAAATTATAAGAAAATTATATGTTCACGTAAAAAGTATAAGAAAAAGGTTTTATTTTGTCAATACCATTGGATTTATAGGTTTTATTTTGCCAATATTATTGGATTTATGAATTTACGGCGACTTTCAGTCTTTGCTACGACAATTCATTATCAAAACGTACAGAGGGAAAATTCTCAGGACGCTTCCCAATGCTGATTTCCATACAATAAAGTCTGGCGAAAAATACGCCAAAAACCATTTGTTTCAACCTGGCAAACCAGTATTGGTGAATAAGGTTTAAAAAAAAAAAGCAAACAAACAAACAAACTAATAATATCATTAAAAATAAAAACAAAAAAAACAAGCAAGCAAACTAGTACTATCATAAACAAGTGTGCAGCTAAAAGATTTGGTCCCATTTAGCTTACCACAAAACCACGAACCACGAACTCATAAACAAGTGTACAGTAAAAATATTTCATAAAAAATTATATCTCAACTCGAATCAACGAATTATTAGCTTACCACAAAACCACGAACTTGTATCCAAAATCCCAGATCGCTGATTGGATTGTGGACTTGACATCCATCCGTAAGTCAATCTAAAACTACTAGGCTGAGAAAATCACAATCTATTATCAATTCAAAAGTTCGTTCAACCCGCTCTAAAATTATAAGAATTTCTTAGATTAAATTCTGTATATATAACGTAATCTAATTTCATAAAATTCAATTTTTAGGACCCAATCAATTAGTATATATTGGGTATTGAAAAACAAACATACACACACACATATTACTAAAAATAAGCAAAACAAATATAAGTAATGTACTATATAAATTATACATATAAGTTCGAATTTGGTGCTTACAAATCATTTTAAAACTTTTAGATTGGGATTATTTCAACAGGTTACTAATACAAAACACTTGATGTCGACACAATTTAATATGACCGGTAGATTTGCGTTGCGTAGATTGAGCAGATCACGAATTTTGTGAGCAACTCCGAATAAGAGTAGAGAGTCACATACAACTATAAGAGTGGGTGGCCACTCTATTTGATTCTTTTAATTTAATTTTATATGTAATTTAGATGATATCTGTAGTTGTTAGAGTTGGAATTTGTCCTCAAGTAATCTTGGCTCTCCACATGTCAAGCATCTCATTATCAAGAGATCGGACAAGGAAACGACCCATTATATGCATTTGGATGTTTTCTGCTGTTACAGATATTTACACACCTATCTTCTTTGTCTTTTTTGCTTCTCAGCTTATGAAAGCTTTATTGACTTCAGCGTCAGGTAATAGTTTCTTAGTGAAAATTTTCCACTTTGAAGATATTTCAAATCAAGAAAGAGAGCAAAAATACAACGGTCATGTTTAGATTGATCCAGTTTTTATTTTTTATTTTTTTTTTAAAGAATGAAAACGTTTTTAAAACGGCGTTTAACATAATAAAGATAAAAAATAAAAATAAAAATAATTTTTTAATTTAGTGTAAAATGAGAGAGAAATAAAAAATAATTTTTAATCGTTTTTTATTTTTTATTTTCGTTCTCTCCTCTCTGAGCAGAGAGAAAGAGACAGAGACATTAATGAGTTTTTTTATACTAAAAATAATCTCTTGATAAAATTACCAAACGCATTTTTAAAAATAGTTTCTGTTTAAGATTGAAAATGTTTTCATTTTTATTTTTATACAAAAAATAAAATCATTTTAAAACGAGTTCTAAACGCACGTAACGTTTTCTTTGATCATTATCAATCTCCGAGACTATTTTCTGTACTTAAGCTCCTTATATCTTTTTCATTATTTCATGTAGTAAAATAATCGAATCATAATGAATATATAGCTCTCATATTTTGAGAGTGAATTATTATAAATTTTAGATATGTTTAATTATTTTCAAATTTTTACTTCTGTTCATATGATTTATATGTTGCATTAAACAGTGATCAACGGCGGTCCATTTCAACATTCTATAGTATTTCTTCACATCATATTTTATATTCAAAACAGACTGCATTAACGGTATATTAATATGTTAACATCACTCTTTTTATTACCTTCCGCATTTACTATTTGACATGTAAATTTTATAATCTCATTTTTTATTTAAATAATAACATATTATATCAATAAAATTTAAATATCAAATAATTAATGTATAAAATATCAAAAAAATCATACTAATATTTCTCATACTAATATATAACTATATATATATATATGATGCAGCAGTTTGCAGTGACTTGTGGTCATTTTGTCACGCAAGCATATAAATGTTTACCAACAAAAATCCGCATTACGTGCGCATGTCAAATATATCCCCGCGCAGCTAATTTTCGTTTTCCATTATATGTTTTGTCAGCGTATGACTGGTGATAAGCTGATAAGTAAGACTAGTTAGGTATTTAGTATGAACATTCGAACATTTCTATTATAATTCAAATCATAATTAATAATTTATTATAATAAAAATAATTTTAAATTCGTGAATTAAACTTTCACTTCAAAATTACGTACCACGATAAAATGTTGATCAGCATTACTTTCTATTACAAGAATGATCGTTTTCCATTACATGGCAGCTTTTGGTTGGTGATAAGCTGAGAAGTAGGACAAAAATAAGATAATACTACGTACTATGACAAACACACCGAAAAAGTCGCCAATTATTTCCCTTGGTAAGAAAATCTAATAGTGAAAAATAGCTTGAGAGAGTAAGGAGACAGAGGATTATTTAATCTCATAATTTATTTCAGTATTTTTTTTATAAAATATATATATAAATTAAAAATAATTTTAATTATGTAATTAAACAAACTTTAGACATATGAGTCTCTAGGTGAGAAAGAGAGAAGAGAAAACATTCACTTCACTCTTCTTCAAAACGAGACCAACCTCAACGCCTCCACTTCCATCCCTAGATTCCGCCATGGAAATAGCTCCGGTTCTATCTATGGACACAATCTCCACCTTCTGTGGCTTTCCCCACCCGAAATCGATGCCGTAAACACCAAATCTCGGCGACCCCGCCACTCCAACAACAAAAACCTCCTTCGACAAAACCGTAAAAAAATTCCGTTCGACCTCCAACGCCTTTTCCAACACACCGACTTTCTCAAACTCCTTTACCATCTCGCCAATCTCCGAGGCCACGGCGGCTACCGGGTCTTCCTCCTTCAGAACCCCTCGCTTGTCCTTATAGTCCAGCGCAAACCCGATGCAGTTCCCGAAGTAGTTCTCCGGCACCGGAGGCCTCAAACGGCTCCGGCAATCCACCGTGAACCCGAAGGTCGTGGCCTTTCTTTTTGTGTCCCGGTTTTCGACGTCGGTTTCTTTGAGTTTCAACATGCACACTAAAGTGTGAGCAAACGTGAGAACAAAGGAGCTTAAATGGAGTTCTGTGAGTCCTAGTTTTTCCCACGTGGATAATACCTTTTGCCGGAGTTTTGTTATGTCCGCTCTGGTTAACTCAAAAGTGACTCGAACAAAGTCCGACGGGACGTCCATAAAGGAGAAAAACTGGAACAGATTTGGGTCATCTTTAGGATTAGGTATCTTGGATAAAGAAAGCCAATTGTTTAAGTACAGCATGTCGAGCCCATGCTGGTCGTTGATGTCTGACCGGTCGTAGAAAGGCGTTAGCTCCGGCGGTAAATCCGGTTTCTCCGATCTGCAAAAATGAGCCCACGATTTCATGAACATGATCGTGGATTTCCCGTCGAGAACGGCGTGGTGGCAAGCCAAGCCGATGCAAAATCCTCTGTTCGGAAACAGAGTTATTTGCAGGGATATCACCGAAGCCCCTGTTTCGGAAACTTTCAGCTTCGGAACGAGGGGATGAAACGACGCCGCTTTGCGGGCTTGGTTACCGGAGAGGAAATCAAAGTCTTCATCTTTCTCGGCGGCGTTGGATTCGGCGACGGTGAGAGAAACGCCGTCATTTGGGGTGTAGAGAATGATGGGCTTGGGGGAATCTCGAGGCCAAGTTAGGTTTCCGGCGAGAGGGAGAAAGTGTTGGAGAGTTAGAGAGAGAGCGTGTTTGAGTTTTGGGATTGTTGAGTCTAAGAAAGTTTGTTTTGGTTGTGGGAGAGAGTAGAAGAAGAGACGCTCAACCGGAGGGAACTTGAACCAGCAGGTATCGAAGAAAGTCAACAGCAGAGAGAAGTCGGTGAAGGAATCTGATGACTCTGTTGAAGGATAGACACGAGTAATCTCGAGTGTTTTCGCCATTGGAGTAGTACAACGTGAAACTGAAAGAGGATAAGTGGTTTGTGGTCAGTGATTCAAAGAATTATGTATATAAAAACCACGAAGCTCGTCGTACTTTTATATCAAAACGAAACCAATCATACCGATTGTTTTTTTCTTTACGGAACCTTTTTGAAAAAAAAAAAAAAAAGGTTAGGACGAATAAATGTGATTAGTTTATGTCTTTATGATAATTAGTACAAGACTAATGTGGAATTAATAAATTATCAAACTTTATGGAAAGGAAAAATATTTTGGACATTTGTGTTTCCCTTGAAAACCTGATAATAATACACTATCAATTTTTTTACAACTCAACTAATTGTAGATAATAACTTTGGTACACACATCAACAACAGAACATTCATTTTTTAATGGTTTTAATTACGTGTGGATAATATAATTCGTTATTAAAATGTAATGTAGGAGGACAATATTGACACTCAGATTGTGTGTAAAGGAATAGATGACATAAAGGGTTATAGAAAGGAATAATTGCAATTTTATTTAAAATTTTTAAAAATTAAAGTATTTTGTCTCAATTTATTATTATTTGTTCTTTTATTAATCAGACATATGAGCAACACGTGATTTAAAGCGCTAAAAAATTGATGTTTAGTTATGAAATTACTGAAATTGCAATTTAAGGTGCGTTGGGTAGTGTTTCTTAGAGTCTAAAATCACTTCTCTAGCCATTAAAAGCTGATAATAGTGTTTAAAAAAAATCATAAAAAGTGATTTTTAAAATTTTTTTGAAGAATCTATTGCCAAAGGTCCAGTTTGGTAATGTTGTTGATTTTGAAAAAAAAATTATTTTTAGCTATGCTGAAAGAAAAAGTAGCTGTTATAAAAAGCAGCTGAGTATTTAGTAAACTGTAATTATACATGTATTGTTGGTTCTAAAAGCAATGTAATAGCATTTGGTAAATTGTAAGGTTGAATTGTTGTGAATAGTTAAGATGACCGTAATTAATAATCTTAAATAATACATAAAGTAATTATAATTGATAATTATTTAGCAATACTTGTATAATTACAGTTTATTAAACACTCAACTACTTTTTATAACAACTGTTTTTTTGTTCAAGACAGTTAAAAGTAATTTTTTTAAAATCTACCACACTACTAAACTGAGCTTTATTATAACTTAGCATGGGAAAAATTTTATACGGCTTTCCATTTTGCATGTGTTGTACTTGATAATTAATGCTTTACATCTTTTTTTTCCCCTCTTCAATCAATTAAATTCTTTAGAAAATGATAGTTGATTATTGTTTTGTTACTTATTTTTCCGTTTATTCTTCAATGTAGAAATACCTAGAAAATAAATAAGAGAAGAAAGTAAGAAATAGAGTTCTCTGTTCATCTTATGAAATTATAAAAAGTCCGTTATATTTTATTTTCTTATGAAATTATTTTCCATGATCATAAAATATTGCATATGTAAAACTTTGGGACTGTATTACTGCGCTTGATTTGAAAGAGGAAAACCTGATGAATATGATAGCATACTAAAAAGTTTCTTGACTTGTTTGAAATAAATAAAAAATGTTATATATTTATCTTAAGTTTAGCACAAAAGAGCTTGCAAAAAAAAAAAAAAAAAGGTCCCAATTATAGGAAGCAAGCTCCAAGCAATTGTTGTATTCGTGCTGGTTAGAGTTTGATGCATAATATATAGGAAAGAATAAAGGGTTAATTTCAATAATAACACTTATGAATAAATTATTATTAATTTTAGCACTATTTTTGTATACTTTTACAACTAGCATTGTCATGTTAGCAGTGTGATGTATAATGACTTCTATGCCACTTAGATCAAAATTATTATTTAAAAGTACCTCAAAGAGACTCACAACTCTCTCCCGCCATTCTCTCTCTCTCTACACCCCGTTTTTGTCTCTCTCTCTCCCTCTCTCTTTTTCTCAAGTTTGGCCTCTCTCTCTCTCTCTCTCTCTCTCCCTCTCTCTTTTTCTCAAGTTTGGCCTCTATCTCTACTCAGTCTCTCTCTTCTCGGTCTCTCTCTTCCCTACGCCCTCATTCTATCGTCGTCTGTACTCCGGTTGTGCACCACATTGAGGTTGATTCTCTCTCTTCTCGGTCTCTCTCTTCCCTACGCCCTCATTCTGTCGTCGTCAATACTCCAGTTGTGCACCACATTGAGGTTGATACACAATTTTTTTTTTTGTTTTTCTTTTGTTTTTATCTTTTTAAATTTATTTTTCTGGAGACTTAGTATATAGAACTCAAAAAAAATGACTGGGTTGAACTTAATGTGATTGGAATTGAAAATATCCTTTGTCAATTTGAGATTTTAGATGGTTTATAACTGATATGTAAACTGATTGTAACGACAAATATGTCAAAGACATAGTTCACTTTGGGAGTCATAGTATTATGACTCATAGTGTTATATGTCTGATCATAATACTATGACCAGTCAGTCATAACAGTATGAGCCATTGTCTATGAGTCAAATTATAAAAGTATGAGTCAAAATAGCCGGTCATAGTCTGGTCATAGAATTATGACCGGCCATAAGGCAGTCATAGTTATATGACCGTCCGGTCATAATATTATGACTGAAATGACCCATAGTATTATGACTGACGCACTATGACTGCCTTATAACCGACCATTACACAGTGTTATGACTTATCATTTCTAATAACTCGATGACGACTAGGAGTAATTGCATGTTGATTAACAGTTATTATTTTTGAAATTATTTAGGAATGACTGCTGGATTGAACGTCTTCATCAAATACAATGGATATTGGGATCGTGCTTCGAGATACATCGGTTGTGAAATGAAGGAGATATTGGTCCCCACCAACACAACTGGCCTTTTTAATATCTGCTTTATCTTCCTCCTCTTTTCCATGTGTACTAATCAACGATATCTCTTCCTCCAAAGTCTTTCTTTTCTTTTAAGATGACAAAAAATGGTAAAAAAAACAATAAATACAAAAAAAAAGAAAGCAAACAAAGTTGTTAACCAAAGTACTATGACTGACACACTAAGGGTTTGACCATTGTGCGGTCATAGTATTATGACCGACGGTCATAAGTGTTATGACTGATGACCGCCCATAACCAAAGTATTATGACTGGCACACTAAGAGTCTGACAATTGTGCGGTCAGTACTATGACCGAGGGTCATAATGTTATGACTGCAAACTCATCAGTCAGGCAATCGCACTATGAACCTGCCTGCCTGATGGGCGGTCATAGAATTATGACCTTCGATCATAGTACTATGACCGTACGGTGTGCTTGTCTTATGACCGGTCATAATGTAATTACCGAGTGGTCATAATGATATGACCGACCTTCAGGCAGAGTCACAGACCAAATAAGGAGCACAATGATAATCCAATGACAATAAAAAATTTTAAATAACTGACCATATATGCTTTTATCTCCTCCTCCAAAGTCTTTCTTTCTTCTAAGATGACAAAAAATGGTAAAAGAAAAAAAATAATAAATACCTAAGAAAAAAACAAATAAACAAGAAAAGCCACAAAGTTTTCACCTTTGTCTTGGAATCCGCCATTTACCTCGTCTATTTCGTGGTTGATTTCTCCGGTGAAGAGGGTGAGGTTTCCTCGATTCGTTCTTCTCCGACGAAGATGTTTAGGTGTTGATTTCTCCAGCGAAGGTTCGTCGATTCTTGTCGCGTGATTGTGTGAGTTCTCGCTGTCGTGGGTTCGTCGGTGCTGAAGGTGGTAGACGGTGGTGGTCGTTGGGGTTTCTTAGTCTTTGTGCACACCCGCGTTCTTTCTCCTCCTCCTCTCCCTATTTTGAATATTTGAATTATAAAAGGTTTCAAAATATATTCAAGGCATCAAAAATGAAATAGGACACAATTGTCATTTTAATTCAAGTAAAAACGGACTGGTCCCACTTTCACTGATATGACAATACTAATCGTGAAAGTATATAAAAGTGATCCTAAAATTAATAATAATTTATTGAGGACTGTTATTATTGAAATTATCCCAAAAATAAATTGCATTTGTCGTTCCAAAAAGAAAAGAAAAAAAAGGAATATGTAAATAATGTAATATATATAGGAAATGTCGGTAGTTATAAAATGCCTGACTGATCTGCTCAAGTTATCGTGGCCGTTGGATTGAATTTTAAGTGGTGTAGATGAAAGTTTGTTTCTCAAAAACCTCTCCCTTTCTCAAACCCACGACCGAGCACTCCCAAACCGTGGATTTTCTCTCGACCTCCCTCGACTTTCCTCGAGCTCTGTTGACCTCCTCCGCAGCCACATCGGCGCCGACGAGTTTCGACAGGCGTACGAGGCCGCGTCCCAACAACTCCCACAAGCAAACCCACTTCTATCTCCTCCTCCACCCTGACATTTCCTCTCTCCTCAAACACCACCACTTCCTCTTTCTCCGCCGCCGCTTCCTCGACCGCCTCCACAGGTAGGTATCTTGTTGTAATTTATAATAATAATTCTTATTCTTATTGTTGAGAAAGAAGATTCTTTTTACACGGATTTTTTTTTTCTTTTGGGGATTTTGATTTGATTTTTAAGGGGCTAAGGTTTGCTTATTTTTCTTAACTTCCTCATCTGTGGTTCATGATTTTGAGGGCATTTGTGCGAAAGATTTCTGGGTTCTGTCTTGTGAAGTCGTTGCAAGCACTGTTTTGATCTGATTTCTTCTTCTGGGTAGTGAAAATTTCTGATTTTGCAAGTATTCTTTGTTGGGGAAATTGATGCTGTAATCTAGTTGGGTGTCATGGTTTTTCTAATTATAGTTATTCTCTGAGGACGTTGAGGGCTTCCCACAACTAAAGGAAGTTTTTTGCGATCTGGGCATTTGGAAAAAGGAAAAAAAAATTTAATGTTTCATTCTCAGGGTTCTTCGAAACAAATTTGTAGTCTTCTTGCAGTCACTTGTGGGAAAGTCTCCGAATCCAAACGCAAAAAGGATGTGCCAGAGAATCGGTCGCTGTATCCTTTCCCGGAGTTGATAGGGAGGGGATACGACATCTCAACGGATCTACAGCTCAAGTACTACAAAGGAGGAGACTCCTTTGATTCGCGTTTGATTGAGATTGATGAAGACGATGGCCGCGAAATCGTTTTGCCCGGTGGAATTATAATCTCGAATGTTTCTAAATCCATCAAATGCGATAAAGGCGAGCGAACGCCGTTTAGGTCCGATGTTCTCTCTTTCCAACAGGTATTTCTTCTTCAAGTTTTGTTGTCGTTTATTCTTAATGATGATTTCTTAATCTCTCACCATAACTCATAAGAGATCACTTTCTCCTGCAAATTGGCATGCTTTCTCATGCATATGAACTATGAAGTTGGGAATATGTTACTTGTCGTTTTATTTTCTCCTTTGCCACTCGTATGCATTCTTATGCATGAGAAGTCTTGGCAAAAGTAATATTTGCCCACTAATCTATGTTTGACACTATTTAAAAGCGTACCAAAAAGAGGAAAAATCATGAAGAGATGAAGGAATACATGCCAATTGTAGTAAACTTAGATCGGTGAGATCCACCTGTCATTCAATATTTACCTGCCATGTTCACGTATAATTGTGATCAAATGGAGATGGATGTTTCTTTCTGGGCACTTTAATAACCATTGGTATCAAGAGATTTCATCAAATGTATTGTAAGTTTCTCTATTTCAGTAACTAACTGCATTCTCTCTCACTCCCAGATGTCAGAGCAGTTCAACCAGGAAATTTATTTGACTGGAAAAATTCCTTCGGGCCTCTTCAATGCAATGTTTGATTTCTCAGGTTGTTGGCAGAAAGATGCAGCCAACAATAAGACCCTTGCTTTTGATGGGGTGTTCATCACGCTATACACTGTTGCATTGAAAAGTCTCAGATGGTACTACGTGAGGAAAAGACAAAGAAAGGAGGACAGTTACTTCCAAACAAACAATTGCAGAAACCAGTCTTTCATTGATGATTTCCAACTGAAAAGAAACATGGGCAAGTTTTATGGTCCTGAGATATAGGAGCATCCACGATTCTCTGGGTTATCTGCCAAGAAAAAACAAGACACCCACGATTCTCAATGCATTATTTAAAGAATGTAGCCTCTACCCAGTTAGCATTATACCCCAATAGAAAATGTAAAGACAAAGTTATATAATAAATCTCATTGGTACACTTTTCCTTTATGTGTGAGTGTGTGTGTGTGTTTTTTTTTTTAATGTGTTCATGATCCGTGATGCCTAACTCAATTGATACTATACCTTGTCTGAAGAAACACAGTTAAAGAAGTCAAAAAGAGTGGGTGTGTGTGTGGAAGTGATTAATTAGAAGAAACAAATCAATAACATGAAATATAACAAATCAGCCAATATACATATTAAGGATGAGTCTCTAATCTAGCACATTAATTTTATATGATTGATCCGCTTTAAAATTGTGGCCATCAGATTAAAAAATAGACGATGTAGATGAAAGTTTATTTTTATGCGTCTCTCAAGCGCACTCCCACTCCCACAATCAAACCCATTTCTCTCTTGACCTTCATCGACCACCTTCGCAGCCATCTCGCTGCCGGTGGCTTCCAACAGACGGACGAGGAGACCCACCGCCTCACGACAACACTCGCAACTAAACTTTTTTTGGTTGATTGTGTCACGACTCTGCTGAGTTGACCGTCACTGAAATTAACTTTAACATATACTTTCTGAAACTCTCAAAATTTGAGACTTTTAAAAAAAAAATACTATAGATTAATCCCTGAACTTTGCGTTTTTCTTGAGCAAAACTTTGGATACTAATAATAAAAGGAACGATAATTTTAAAAATTTAATGGTAATTACATATGCTCATCGTGTGATAACTTCAAATTTTACAGAAAAATCATATAAGAAACACAATATTACCTTCAATGCTAGTTTAAACGTTTGAAAATCACAACATTATACTTTTGTAAATAAATAAGACTTATGCTGAATTGTACAGCTTTCGTATGTAAATATACAAGACATATGATGAATTATACAACTTATATATCTTTACATATAAATATACAAAATTAATACTAAATTATACAATTTTCATATGTAAATATACAAGAAATCTTTAAATTGTACATCTCAGGCACTTTTCAGAGACTTTGCCTATATATATATATATATATATATATATATCGATTAATACTGAATTATACAATTTTCGTATGTAAATATACAAGAAATCTTTAAATTGTACATCTCAGGCACTTTTCAGAGACTTTGCATATATATATATATATATATCACCCAATGATACGTGATACTTGATGGTTGTGCCATCCATCTAGAGTCTTTCCCGAACCATAAAAGATATTTTTCAGCTGCGCCTTATCTTCACAGATTCTGATTTTTTATTTTTAGTTTTTAGCGTCATGCACTTTCTACGCCCCTTATCTTCACAGATTCTGATTTTTTATTTTTAGTTTTTAGCGTCATGCACTTTTTACGCCAGAGAGAAATAGAGAAGAGAAAACGTCCATTTCATGCTTATTCAAAACCACACCAATCTCAATGCCTCCATTTCCATCCCTCGATTCCGCCATGGCAATGGCTCCGGTCCTGTCCACAGACACAATCTCCACCTTCTTGGGCTTTCCCCACCCGAAATCGGTGCCGTAAACGCCGAACCTCGGCGATCCCGCCACTCCGACGGCACGTGCCCCTTCCAACAACCCCGAAACCATTCTCGCCAGGATCTCCCTCGCTCCTTCCATGACATCCTTCTCCTCCAGCTCCTTTATCAGCTCGCCGGTCTTCACCGCCGCGGCGGCGAACGCGTCTTCTTCCTTCAAAAGCTCTCTGGCGTCCTCGAAGCTTGCAAGGGCTCCGACGCAGTTCCCGAAGTAGTTCTCCGGAACCGGCGGTTTCAGACGGCTCCGGAGATCGGCCGTGAACCCGAAGACAGTCTTCTTTTTATTTGTTTCCTCATCTTCTTCTATGTCGACCTTTAGAATGCAGACTAACGCGTAGGCGAACGTGACAACAAAGGAGCTCAAATGGGGTTTTGTTGCTCTAATTGTGGGTTCTAGTTTTTCCCAAGTGGATAACACCTTTTGCCGGAGTTTGACTATGTCTGATTTAGTTAACTCAAAAGTACCTCGGACTAAGTTGGATGATAACTCCGAAGTGGGGAAAAACTGGAACAGATTTGGGTCATCTCTAGGATCAGACATCTTGGATAATGCAAGCCAATGGTTCAAATACAGCATGTCGAGCCCATCTGGGTCCATGATGACTGACCGGTCGTAGAAAGGCGTGAGCTCCGGCGATAAATCCTGTTTTTCCGATCTGCAAAAATAAGCCCAAGATTTCATGAACATTGTCGTGGATTTCCCGTCGAGAACGGCGTGGTGACACGTCACGCCGATACAAATTCCTCTATTCGGAAACAGAGTTATTTGCAGGGATATCACCGAAGCCCCTGTTTCGGAAACTTTAAGCTTCGGAACGAGGGGATGAAACGACGCCGGTTTGCGCGCTTGTTTACCGGAGAGGAAGTCAAAGTCTTCATCTTTATTGGCGGCGTTGGATTCGGCGACGGTGAGAGAAACGCCGTCGTTTGGGGTGTAGAGAATGATGGGCTTGGAAGAGTCTATAGGCCAAGTTAGGTTTCCGGCGAGAGGGAGAAAGTGTTGGAGGGTTTGAGAGAGAGAGTTTTTGAGTTTTGGGATTGTTGAGTTTAAGAAAGTTTGTTTTGGTTGTGGGAGAGAGTAGAAGAAGAGACGCTCTACTGGATAGGCTTTGAACCACAAGGTATCGCAGAAAGTTAACGGCAGAGAGAAGTCGGAGAGGGAATTGGATGAATCTGTGGAAGGGTAGACATGTGTGATCTCGAGTGTTTTGGCCATTGCAAAATGAGAGAGAATTGTGGACTTGGTCACGCAGGTATTTGTTTGGTTTAGGTATAGATACCAATGTTGATAAATGTTATGCAATAAATAATACCCTCAAAAGAAAGAAAAAAGGTGGAAATATAGTAATATCTGTTTCCAAAAATAAAAAAAATAAAAAAAAAAATAAAACGTGAGTCAGAGTATGTATATCTCACGGCATTTTGTACGGTCTACATTTCGTCCGACCCATGCCTTTTGGCGACTTATATACGTACTGTCTTACGTCATGAAAGATGAAGTTAGGTCCGTTCACTTCGCTGATTCGAGTTTGTAATTCGAGTTGAGATGTAATTTTATGTAAGAACTTTTTACTATAGCAAAAAAGTTAGATGTGATTGTTTATGAGAGCTTTTTACTGTAACAAAACTCAAATTCTAAACTCGAATTGGTGAAGTGAACGGGACCTTAGTCTTTGACAACCACTCTCTCCCGTGAAACTCTTCCTTTAACTATGATTGATCTGACCATTTTTTTTAGGCAGAAGTTGAAAAGAGATTTGAACAGCAGTCTGAAAAGACTAATGCTGCGCAAAAGAAAAGAATATATTTCAAAAGAAGAAAAAGCACAAAGTGAGTGCAGAAGGACCTGAAATATTGTATCGAAAACTTGAGTTATAATTTTAATTAATAAATTGAACTGGGCCACAATAACTATATGACAGTTGTATCTATTATTAGGATTATTCTTTAGAATCGATGTGAAATTTCCATTAAATTTTATTTTAATATGTTATAGTATTTTATCTCACATAAATTTATTTTTTTATCTTGAACGAGACTTTAAAATATCTTAAGCTTGAGTTTGATTTATTTTGTGGGAGTAATGGTGGTAGTTAACTCCTTATCGTTCCGTAACATTCATGTTAAAAACTAGACGAGATAGATCATGTGTTTACTTAAGTTTGAATAAAATATTGACATATTAAATTGAGGACTTTTAGCACATGATTAAATGACTCATATGATATACAACTACGCATAACGACCCTCTAAAACTATCTTTTAGATATTGTTAGTTGTTACATTCTGTTATACTATGGTTATTTAGTTTTAGCCTAAAGCTTGTATATAAAAGGCTAAGCTTGTATCATTCTTATTATTCAATACAGGAAAATTCATTTTCCATTTTTTGGTTTTCCTCCGTAATATGGTATCAGAGCACGCGAATCTTTGTTGCTCGTTCTCATTTTGATTCTTCTGGATTTCTTTTGATTTCAGCCATTTTCTTGTTCGTGTTCCTTCCGTTCAAGATCTTACTTCATCGATCATGGAGTCTCAAAATTCCGCTTCGACAAATTCATCCACTGGTAAATCCGCCATTGATGATCCTCTCAGCCCTTTCTTCCTTCATCATTCCGACAGTCCAGGTCTTCTTCTTGTCTCGCAACAACTCACCGGTGATAATTACGCCTTTTGGAGCCGTGCGATGACGATTGCCCTATCCGTGAAGAACAACCTCGGATTCATTAATGGATATGTTCCATGACTTGACGGTACGGACTCGAATCTCCTCATTGCTTGGATTCGCAATAATAATATTGTCATATCCTGGATCTTGAATTCTGTTTCAAAAGAAATTTCTGCAAGTATTCTATTTTCGATTCTGCGTTTAAAATTTGGAACGATCTTCAAGATCGCTTCCAACAAAGCAACGGTCCTCGGATTTTTCAATTGCGTTGAGAATTGATTAATCTAGTCCGGAATCAACAATCTGTTAATGTCTATTTTACAAAATTGAAAGCTTTATGGGAGGAGTTGTCTAATTTCAGACCTGCCTGTACTTGTGGCAAGTGTTCTTGTGGAGGAGTTAAAGATTTGGTCAACTTCTTTCAGATGGAGTATGTGATGTCGTTTCTTATAGGTTTGAATGATTCCTTTGCCCATACCAAAGGCTAAATTCTTCTCTTAGATCCTTTTCCACCTATCAATAAAGTTTTTTCTCTTGTGTCTCAAGAAGAACGTCAAAGGAGCATTAATTCAGGGGGAGTTGATTCTGTTAATCAGAATATGGCTTTTGCACTTTGAACTGCTGCTCCTAAGCATCCTCCTTCTGATGTTCAGAACTATGGCAATGGCAGAGGTCAACGAAAATAAAGACCATTTTGCACTCACTGTAATTTCCATGGTCACACTATTGAGAAGTGTTATAAGCTTCATGGCTTTCCACCTGGATATAAACCAAAGCCAAAGTTTACAACTACAAATGTGCATCAAGTTTCTGCTCATCCTGGTTCAGATGCTAACACAGGCCAGAGTAGTGCACAAGTGGATGGGTTTCTCAAAACTTTGAATGGCAACTAGTATCAGCATCTCATGACGATGCTCTCCACTCATCTCATGTCTTCTGTCAAGGCTTCTGATGCACAAGACATTTCTTCAGTTTCATATACAACATGTATATGCTCTTCTGTTTCTATGCATTCTGTTTTGTCTTCTGTGCATTTTTGGATAGTGGATTCAGGTGCTTCCAAGCATATTTGTTCAAATGCCAACTTATTTATCTCTTTGAAGCCCATACAGAATTCATCTGTTACTTTGCATAATAAAACCGTTATTCCTGTTCGATTATCTGGGGATGTTAAATTGAATTCTTTGCTTCTCAAAGATGTTGTGTTTGTCCCTCAATTCCACTTCAATCTGCTTTCTGTCAGTGCACTTACTGCTGATTCATCTCTTACCATTAGCTTCTTTCCTGGTTACTTCGAAATTCAGGATCCCAATAGCCAGAAGATGATTGGCAGGGGTGATCAATTTGCAGACTTATATGTTTTGGATGCCAAGAATTTGACTGCTGGATGTTTGACAGATTCATTGAACATAAGGGATGTTTCAATTTCAGATTCCAGTGTTTTAGCATTTGTTAATAAGGTCTCAGCCACTGTTTGGCATAATAGACTTGGGCATCTTTCTTCTAGCATATTACACTCGTTGAAATCTCAGTTGAAATGCGATTTTTCCAAGTGTAATACCAATGACATTTGTTACATTTGTCCTTTAGCTAAACAAAGACGGTTGCCATTTATCTCTAATAATCGTATGTCTTCATCTCCCTTTGATCTGATTCATTGTGATGTATGGGGTTCTTATCATGTGTCTGCTTGTTTTGGTTATAGATATTTTTTGACTATTGTGGATGATTGCACTAGATTTACCTGGGGTTTTATGATGAGACAAAAATCTGATGTTGCAACAGCTATTCCCAAGTTTTTTACTATGATTGACACTCAGTTTCGTAGTAAAATCAAGAGTTTCCTGTCTGATAATGCAAAGGAGTTGGATTTCAATGCATTTTTCAGTAGTCAAGGGGTTTTACATCAATATTCTTATGTTGATACACCACAACAGAACTCAGTAGTTGAAAGAAAACATCAGCACCTTTTGAATGTTGCTCGTGCCCTGTTTTTTCAATCTCGAGTTCCAGTAAATTTTTGGAGTGAATGTGTTCTTACTGCCACTTACTTAATTAACAGAACCCATTCCCCACTTCTTGGACATAAATCTCCTTATGAGCTGTTGTATAAGGATGCTGTTGAATACTGATCTCTCAGAATTTTTGGTTGTCTTGCGTTTGCATCCACTCTATCTGCTTATCGTACTAAGTTTGATCCTTGAGCTCGTACTTGTGTTTTTGTTGGATACCCATCTGGTGTAAAGGGGTACAAGCTCTATGATATTCAAACCAAGCAGTTCTTTGTTTCCAGAGATGTTATTTTTCATGAATCCACTTTTCCTTTTCATTCCGTGACTTATGCTAATCAGGTGGTAGATCCGTTTCCTGAACTAGTTCTACCTTCTCCAGCCCCTGATTTTCCAGCTTCTACATCCTTGTCTCCTAGCTTCTCCCAATCTTCCACTCCTGATTGTAACCCCACACCGTCTGTTAAGAGATCTTCCCGGGTCACTAGAGTCCATCTTATCTACAAGAGTATCACTGCAACCTTTTCCATTCTCAACCACAAGTCCTTGGTTCCACTGCCTTATACCCCTTGTCCAATCATATTTCATATGAGTCTCTTTCTTCCTCACATAAAACCTTTGTCATGAGTGTTTCTTCCCACGTGGAACCTCAGTTTTATCATCAGGCTGTTCCCTTCCAGCACTGGCGCGAGGCTATGCAACTTGAGCTTGTTGCCATGGAATCCAATCAAACCTGGTCAGTTGTCTCTCTTCCACCTGGTAAGCATTCTATTGGCTGTAAATGGGTGTATAAGATCAAATACAGGTCGGATGGCTCTATCGAGTGCTATAAAGCGCGTCTAGTTGCTAAAGGCTATAATCAGCAAGAGGGTGTTGATTTCATTGACACTTTTTTGCCAGTTGCAAAACTTGTTACTGTCAAGCTCCTTTTAGCTTTGGCTTCTAGCCAAAAATGGCATTTAGCTCAGTTGGATGTCAACAATGCGTTTTTGAATGGCGATTTATTCGAAGAGGTATACATGGACCGTCCCCTCGGTTATGTTAAAAAGGGGGTGCATTTGAATTCTGTTGGCAGGTGGGTTTGCAGGCTGCACAAGTCCATATATGGCCTTAAACAGGCCTCACGTCAATGGTACTCCAAGTTTTCTCTTGCCTTGATTAATTTTGGTTTTACTCAATCTAAGTCTGATTATTCTCTTTTCACCAAAGGCTCAGGTACAACCTTTGTTGCCTTACTAGTGTACGTGGATGACATAGTCATTACAAGTCCTTCACTTGATGCCGTTCAACAGTTGAAGCTTTTTCTACACACGCAGTTCAAGTTGAAATACCTTGGAAGTTTGAAGTATTTCCTTGGTCTTAAGATTGCTCGTTCCTCCTCTGGAATTGTCTTATCTCAGCGACATTACACATTGCAACTTCTTGAAGACACTGGGTTTTTGGCTTCCAAACCAGTCTCAGTTCCTATGGATCCTAAACTTCACCTTAATGCTGCAGAGGGTGATCTTCTTCCCGAAGCTTCTCAGTACAGACGTTTTATAGGCCGGCTGCTTTACCTCACCTTATCTAGACCAGACATCACCTATGCGGTTCATAAGCTCAGTCAGTTTTTGGCTGCTCCTCGTCTGCCTCACCTACAGGCAGTTCATTACCTTCTTAGATACCTAAAATCCAGGCCTGGGCAAGGTTTATTTTTTAACTCCACTTCCTCTTTGCAGCTTCGAGCTTTCTCTGATGCTGACTGGGTAGCATGTTCAGATTCTAGGAAGTCCATTACTGGGTTTTGTGTTTTCCTTGGTGAGTCCTTAATATCTTGGAAAGCTAAGAAGCAATCCATAGTATCTCGCTCTTCTACTGAAGCGGAGTACCGAGCGTTGGCTACAGCTACTAGTGAGTTAGTATGGATTCAACAATTATTAAGAGACTTTGGTGTTCCTATTTCCCCTCCAACGCTTCTATTTTGTGATAGTCAAGTTACCATACATATTACTTCGAATCCCATTTTTCATGAACAGACGAAGCATATCGAGATAGATTGTCATTTTGTTCGTGACAAAGTTGTTGCTGGATTTGTCAAGCTTATGCCTATTCGGTCTCAACATCAATTGGCTGATATGTTTACCAGGGCTTTGCCAGCCAGTTCTTTGTTTTCTTTGTTGTCCAAGATGGCTATAAAAGACATTTATATTCCATCTTAAGGGGGAGTTTTAGATATTGTTAGTTGTTACATTCTGTTATACTATGGTTATTTAGTTTTAGCCTAAGGCTTGTATATAAAAGGCTAAGCTTGTATCATTCTTATTATTCAATACAGGAAAATTCATTTTCCATTTTCTGATTTTCCTCCGTAATACTATCAGCTAAAAATTTTACCAGCTTTAAAGCAAAATTAATTATAATATATAAAATATACTGCATAATGGAAAAATAATAGCTATATATTACATAAATAATCTTTGAACAAAAAATTTTTAGGATTACAAATTTCAAATCTTAATATTTCTAAACTCGTCCCATTCTTGCTCAAACAACTGGAACTTCAATTATGGAGCTTACACATGCACCACAAGAACTAAATAAGCTACAACTCAGTAAGTAAACCATAAATTAATTTCCACTTTCAAAATATTTTTTTTAGCATTTAGGACCCTCTTGTATAACATTACACTTGTGTTATTAAAACCTCTTTTATGTGGCCTTATCTTGTAATCTCTTAATTCTTAAGGATTCGACCTTATCATATCCCTCTTGGCTCATAATAAACTAAAGGTTTCACATTATAGCTAGAAAATACTGTTAAAATATCATGAAAACATGCCAACAATAACACATATGAACTGAAATCTTTTATTGAAAACATACTACTGTTCAAGTGATGCAGTGGTAGAAATATTTACCTGCTTAAAATGGTAAATATAATTTTATCTCTATATTTTCCTTTCATTTTTTTCCTTTTTTTTTTTTTCACGACAACATACACACGAATCTACATTGCTTTAAAATGAACATCTAAAGGATATAGCATCAGTTAAAGAATCAACGTCAACTCCAACGACATTGTAAGTTGCCACATTTCATGTCCGTTAAAAAGCGACGTGAAAACTTACAACGTCTGTCAAACGTGACGTAGTTTGTTTTTGACATCGGTTATTTTATAACCGACGTAGAATGTTATAAAAATAAAAGGTGGTTTTATTTGCACACCCCTTTTTACTCTACACGCTCCCCTTCATATTAAAATTTCTAATGACAGAAAGGCACTTACATAAAATGACAAAAAAAAGACAATTATGATAGACTTAATTACATAATTAAATTTTATAATAAAAAGGGAATTAATTATATAGTTTTTTTTTCTTTCAACATACCGACATTATTATATTTTAAATTATAAATTATTGCTATTTTGAAACTATAGTAGAGCCCTAATTTTTATCTTTTAATGATTATTAAAAAAATTGGATGAGAATTAAGTTTAATTTCTTTGCAATTTGTATTACGATTTTTGTTTTTTTTTTTTCTTTTTATGTTTATGTTTTTTTAAGATCATTTTGTCTTTTTAATGGCTAATCATTTATTATTATATTTTTTAAAAGTGGATTTTTTCTTAAAGTGTCTGATAAGACCACACAACAAATTCAAGTAAGAAAAATATGCTAGGTAGCTGATATGAATGAGTGAACTCTGTAATTAGACTGGGATTGCAAGAAAACTGAGAAATACAAGAAAACTGAGAAAAACTCAGCATTCCTATTAACCGCCTGTGGGGCTGTTCTTCTGAGTGGCCGTTGCACCGTTGTCTCATGTTCCCGCAGCAATCTTTCCATGAAATCGCTTCCTCACATACGTGAAACGCAGGGGAGGCTTATCAGTGTTGTTCTCGGCTTTCTTATGCTCTTTTGAATTCTTTTTTTTATTATTATTTTGTCTTTTTTATCAATACCTCAATTGATATAATAATTATCTCATGTTTATGTTCTTTATTGTTAAAAAATATTATTATAATTATGTATGAATAAGAGCTTCATTCCGAAAACTTAAAAAATTATAGAGATAAAAAATAATAAATTAAAATAAAATGGTGGGTGTGAAAAGAAAATTTAAATGATCAAGAATTAATAATGTTATGAAAATAGTTAAGGATAGTCTTGAAATAATAGGAGTGTGTAAAAAATAAATTTAATCTTTTCAAAATTATAGGGGGTGTGTATTTAGAAGGAGGGTGTGGAGAGTAAAAAAGAGGGTGTGATAGAACCACTTAAAAAAAAAAAAAAATGAAAACTTAACACCCTGTGGCAGATTTATCTAATTCATAATTTCCAGAAACGTGTATGAGTCTAAAATTTTAGATACAAAACCGTACCAGAAAAAAAAAAAAGAAAACATAACCAAATCAAAATAGATAAATGAAAAAAAAAAAGTAAAAATAGTCTTCCCAGATATCCACCGTTGTTGTCTCTAGATAGCCACTTATGTACGCATTGCATATTGTCCTGGCACGAAAGAGGAAAATGTAATCACTATGATTGGTATGAGCATAATTATTGAAAAATGCATAACGACAACATGACCTGCAATCTATTAGTGAGTGATGCTACCATGTAGCACTATTGATTTTTAAGATTATTCTTGTAAATGGTTTTGAAATTTTCACCGAATCTTATTTTGACCTCTTATTTAAAGAACAATATTATAGTGTACCAATGATGTTGAGCATCACTTGCTAATAAAATGCGGATCCAATTGTATGAGATTCTTATATAAAGCCCATCTTCTATTAGTAGCAGTGCTTCTATGGATTTTTCTTATTTAAAATATCTTAAGATTAAAATTGATATATATTGTTTGGTAAAGTTGGTCCTTTCAAAGGCATAATCAAAATGTAATTTCACAACCGATTCCCCTGCAAAGTGTAAAACTCGAATCCCTCACTTGAAGTTCAAAAAAAAAAGTCGATCTTTTAAAATGTTTGGGGTGTTTTAAAAATTTGCCTCTGAACTTGTAGACTTTAACAACTTGGCTCTTAAACTTTTAATTTTGATAATTTACCCTCCTAACTTGAAAACTGTTGCAATGTCCTAAACTCCTCATTTTATCATTTGTTCTCTAACTTTTTGTCACATTTTAAGAGATTAAGAGTTGGGTAATTTAGAAATTTATGTCATGATTAGAATATTATGGATATTGAAAATTTTTCGTCAAATTTATTTTTTTGTCACCAATTTAATTACGCGATCATCATTGAAATAGGGCACTATCAAAATCATTATCTGCAAGCACATACATTTTCAAAAAAAAAAAAAATGCAAAACATAATTAAAAAAAGGGCAATTACGCGCAACATTCAATCAATTAATTGTGTTCAAACAGAAAAGGCTAAAAGGACAGCCAACCTCATTTTCTTTATTTCTTATAGTTATATAATTACTTCTTCCATGTATAAGCCGATCAGGAATATGCTTCCATGTACATGCACATCGAGTTGGCATATATTAAGCTAGAAATATAGCCAAACATTTATTGTACAAGAACCTTAGGATCAGTGGTAGATTTAAGTACAGTTTAATGGGAGTTACCGTCCTCACTCAAAATTTTTTTTTTAAAATATTATTTTTAAAATTTTTAAAATTTTACACTTAAACTCCCACTGAAATAATATATGTCCCCACTAATATAAATAAATTTTCTTATATTTTCTCATTAAGATAATTTGTTAAAAAAAATTTAATATACGCGCTTATAGAAATAAAATGCTGACTCATCACACTTGGTGTGTTCAATATGTGAGTCTAATTATTGTTTCAATAATTATCGCTTTATGCATAGACAACACGCTATTTATTCTTATAAATTTCTTATTCATCATAATGTTGAAAGTGGACGTAACTCTCACATTAAAGTGAACTATTGTAAATTTTGTGTGTTCCTATTTGTTTAATTTCTTTTTGCGATTTTATTACTTTCGGTAAAATTAGGGCATCTAATTCATAATAAAAGGGTTAGACTCCAATCTGGCAAGGGAGTACTTCACCATTATTATTCATGATATATTAATACGAAAAAGAGAAGCAAAGATATCAATTTCATGCTTCTTTAAAACCAAACCAACATCAATACCTCCATTTTCATCTCTATACTCCACCAAAGAAATTGCCTTTCTATGTATAGACGCGATTTCAATCTTCTTAGGCCTTCCAAAACAGAAATCTATCCCATAAACTCCAAACTTTGGCGACCAAGTTATCGAAATCACTTGTGCTCCTGGTTCCAGCGAACCCCATTTCGAAAGCCTGTCCTTTGCTCCTTCAAGAACTCCCTTCTCTAAACCTTTTACCAAACAACTTATCTTCCCGGCAACAATGGCCAAACCGTCTTCTTCAAAGCAGTCTCTCACCTGCACATAACCCAAATGAGAACCAACACAGTTACCGAAATAGTTCAACGGTACCGGTGGATCCAAACGAGTTCGGTAGTCTACGCCGACGACGAAGTAAACCTTGTTTCTACGATCCTCTTCCGAGGAGGTTGCTCTAACCATGCACGTTAAAACATGAGCACTCGTAACAACAAACGAGCTCAGTTTTTGAAGTGTTGAGGTTTTGTTGATTCTGGATACCCGTTTCTTGAGGTTTTCTATGTCGCCACGTGTCAGCTGGAAATTACCTCGTACCAAGTCAGATTGTACATGTGTTTCTGACCAATGTTCAAACACTTTCTGTTTGGATTTAGTTTTCTCCAACCATCGGTTTAAGTACACCATGTCGAGCCCAATGTCGTCCTTGACAACATTTCTGTCGTAGAAAGGCATTAACTCGGGTGATAATGGCGGGTTTTCTCTACAAACGTAAGCCCATGATTTCATGAACATGGTCGTAGATTTCCCGTCAAGAAAGGCATGGTGGGCGGTGATTCCGACGCAAATCCCGCTGTTGGGAAACATTGTGATTTGCAGTGCCATAACAGAAGCCGAAGTCTCGGTCACGTGCAGTTTGGGAACAAGAGGACTAGACGCCGACGCTTCACGGACATTGTCGCCGGAAACGTGGCCGAAATGCTCAACGGTGGACTCGGCCACGGTGAGCGAAATGGCGTCCCCAGGGTTGTAAAGAACATTGGGTTTCGGGGAACTTGGAGGCCAAGTTAGGGTTCCGGCGAGAGGAAGGTAGTATTGGAGGGTGAGAGAGAGCGAGTGTTTTAGCTTGGAGAGTGTGGAAGCCATGAAAGATGGGTCTGAATTAGTGAGATTATAAAAGAAGAGGCATTGAACTGGTGGGAATTTGAAGCAAAATGTGTCAAGGAATGTGAGAGGGAGAGAGAACTCGGTGAATGCCG